CAGGGCGTAAAAGGGATCTGTGTGTTTGATAGAGAATGAGGGGGTGTGACAGCGCCTTATCCAAGCCCCACTCTGTCCGGGATGACACGGATCTGGACGCAGAATGACGAAAACCAAGCCTCCCTCCACAACTGAAGAAGGCTTGCAGAATGCTCTGTCTGGGACGGGGGCCCCTTCGAAGAGCTACAAGTCCCCTTCACTCCGGAACCGGTGTCCCGATGACCCGTGCATGGCAGAGGCCCATCCTGGGGCATCTAGCCTTACCCAGCAAGACCATTCTTCAATTACCTAACCTTTCCGCGGGTGAACGTGTGTGTGTGTTTCTCCCTGTGTACGGCCCTGAATTCTGATCTGATGCACGACTGTCGCCGTGAATTAAAGATCAATGTCCCCGCTATTCCTCTCTGGCTTCAACTCTTACGGAAACTAATGAAGTCATCCCGCAATCCCTTTCTTTGCAACATGCTCTGGGCCAAATCACAGCCGTTCATTATGGCCACTTACACCACGGTCTGGCTGGAGATGTCAGAGGCCTGGCTGTCAACGGCTACCCTGTAAGTGCATTTCAGGCCTCCGACTGTGCCCAGTATCGATGGCAGCAGAACTGGATAAAAGGTCAGGTCTCCTAATGGCACATTTATCAGCGGTCCCAGGTTTCAGGGCTTTATGAGGACACCAAGCGCACTTGCAGGAGGAAGTCTCGGTCTCCTACACAGCTCCAGAGCACAGGACACGGCAGACGGAGCTCTTCCCCACGACACTCCCGTGAGGACATCGTCTCTCCATGGCCACGTGACGTCCCCCCGTGCGCCATGCTTTCCATCATTCCCGCGGCACGCTCACCTCCCTTTTGGGACCAGTCACGGGTCAGGGTTTCTTAACGTTGCAGAAACGTGATCTCACCACTCTGGGAAGGCAGAGATTAAAAACAGACGTCCAGCTCTTTTCCAGAGGGTGGGTTTGTACTCAGATGCCCCATCCTAAGCGTAACCGGAAATTCCTAGCGTTTATCTCACTTCTGATGACAGCCTCTTAGAATACCCACGCGCTGGCAGAGAACAGGCTGTATACATACAAAATACACCCAGAATTTGTTCAGTATGCGTTGAACGTGGCAGCCTGGGCATCCAACCAACCACTCGCGGTAAAATTTATAGGAATTTATGAACGCAGTGACGGGAGACCGTAAACCGTACAAATCTCGAGGGTGCGTATAACGCCATCATCCTTGAAAACACCCTCTTCAGCCTGCACATGTGTGGCTCACAAAGAAAGAGAGAGCGGTTTCTTTCAACGTAAATGTTCCTTCTAGCCACGAAGCACCATTTTTGATGTATTTAGGGAGGAAAGGGTTCGACATCGTGGACTCTCCGCACCGAGAGTGACCAAAGTTCACCTGCTCTGTCGAAGACGACGAGAAACGTGGGTCTCCTTCTTCCCACTGGCATCAACCTTTTAAATGTGGCCTTGACTCACACGAAGGGAAAACTACTTGGAGAATAAAATTAACTCACGGTGTTCACCCATTACTACGCAGCCTGTGAATTCTTTTCAGAGGCAGCAAATACCTCTCCATCTCCATGGCAATGAGGGGACAGACATCAGAGCTCCCTTAAGAATTCCCGGGATGCGTTCTACTTCGGGGGCACGAGACCCCGAGTGTTCTGTTACCATCTGTACCATTCCCTGGTCTGCTTCCTCCTCCTCCTCTTGTAAGGAGGTGGTGAGCTGGCGGAGTCCGAGGCAGGTCAAAGGGATCCACGTGGCCCGCTCCGACAGAGAGGACGGCCTTTGTAGGCAATCTGCTGTGTTTTCTGGATCCGATCTCTGCTAGTACCCACGCGGCTCTGGCCCTCCGCTCCAAAGTGTGGAGACTCAAAGCCCTCCACAAGAAGCTGTCTCTTTCTCCCATGCCACGTGGATGCTCTGTAGGAAGAAGGAGGTGGTGTGTGTGGAATGTGTCCTGGGGGACGTGTGTATCCCCAGGACCCGGCGGGTCACAGACAAGCACTCCATGAAGGTCATTCACACTTGAACGTGCCCCAAGCTAAGCCGCCGTTGGCACGGTGGCCCCACGCTGGCTGTGAGTTACAGAGCCCGGAAGAAACCGACGGCCCAGGGGGCAAGCCGGATGGCTGTAGGGATCTTCACTCAGGACACAGAGAGAGTGCTGGGAATCCCTAAGAAACCCACAGCTCATTTCTGCTTGAAAGAGCAACATGGACTTCTTGCTAATTAAATTGCATTAAGGATGACCTGTCTTTTGCACAACTCTGTGGCTTTTAACATATGGTGTGAGGACCTAATTATCTGGCTTCCCAACAGAAGCATGTCCCCAGGATGCATTTCATCCCTAAGACTAAATTCCTAATTTAGGAATCAGGGGCACCATGGAGTGTGCCGTTGTACAGACGTGTGCGCTCGCTCCACTACGGGGGCAGGTTTGTAGCAAACCTGGCAAGGGAGGCCTCATCTGAGAGCATTGCAGCCCAATGAGGCCTCGTTGCCTCCTGCCCCTGCCGTCCACGGGTCCACACCTCCAGGGACTACTGGCAGGGTAAACCCGTCCAGAGACAAGGCTTACGGGAAGAACGTCAATTGGAGAAATAAGAGTGTAAATCATCCTCCGTGCTACTTTCGACGTATGAGTTGGACGGGAACTGGGCCACCCCAGTCTTTTCTGTGAATGCACTGAAAGAAGGCACTTTGCACCGTGAAGTTGTGAACTCAGAGGCGTATGAATGGACGTCATAAACACTGTGTCTGTTTTCGGTCATTTTCCTTCTGCTCCTAAGTCTGAACCCCTTTCCCACACGAACGTGGTAAAGACCTCCTTACGTTACTCCCGATATGCCAGCCAGTGAGGCCACGCTTACAAATGCACCTTCCCATCCTCAAAATCATATTTTTTTTTTTTTTGCAAATGCGGCTAAGTTTCTCTGGTGCTATAGTAGCGGATTCTCAAGGTGCCTGGCAAGGCCACGGGCCGAGTCAGATATCGCACGTCGCACACAGCGGGGCAAGGATGGTTTCATCCAGACGCTTTTGATCTTGGCATCCTCACGTGATGCTGGGAAGCCGCTGTCCCCGCACGGCATCGCGGTTCACACGTGCGGCATTCCCAGCTACACTGACCTCGCAGGCCCCACGCAGCACGGGCGACAGGCATTCCCTCCAGACCCATGTGTTGGGAAGAGTAACCGTCCTACAGTAATTCGACGATGATGACTTCCCATGGGGGGTGACGTCAGAACGTCTTATATCCCTACTTCTGCCACAAAACAGCAGAAAGGCCACAGCATCAGGATTGACTGCACAGGTGTCAGCGCCCTTGCGGTCCAATGGCTTGGGTCCGCTCCCCAAGTCACGTGCTGAGGGATCCAGTACGGGGCCTTGTAATCTCCTGAACTGCCCACAGATTCCACCATTCCTGTCCAAAGACCACTTGCTGGGGAGGAGGGAGTTCTCGGGAGGCCAAGGACAATTCCTTACCACTGTGACTCTGGCAGGGGCGCTCTCCTGGTCACGTCCTCCCGTACGTTTCCGAGAGCTCGCTGGTAGGGGCGGGCAGACAGGTGACCCTTCGGCTCAGCCAGTTTGGTGCACAGCACGCTGCTGGGTTTTGAGCTTCGACGGACAGGAGTGCAATCCCGTGGGGCGCCGTCCTACCTGGGAATGGCTGTTCGCTTGCTCATAAAACCCGGCGAGGTAACCCATGAGCTGACAGCCTTGTCATCCACGCGGACCGTGCCCCACGGTTGAGCGATGACACTAATTTACTGTCACAGCCAGAGGGTTTTTTAAAATGAACCCTCAGCCCGGTAAGATGGAAAGTTCCAGAAGCGACCCCTGTACTAGGAAGAAAGGAAGAGAACCTTGTTTCTAGGAACGCTCTGCGTACACCAGACTCGACGGTATAAACCGTGTACTTCCTACACTTCTAAGACTTGCCTCTGATCACAAGCTAACATCTCCTTGTAGAAAAATCGACAGGCATAATGACGGTTGTGGCTTTGGTGGCAAAACCCCCGCGGCGCCCCAGCTACTTCTCCGAGCGTCCTAGGAGACACGGGGTTCAGACGTGCTCAGGGAGCGTGCGGCCTGGCCCGAGCGCTCCACAGTAGGAATGGCGGGACACTGGTGATGTGCAGGCTGTCACCGCCTCTGGGTTGTGCTAACGCAAAGCCCGGGCAGTCCCTACTCCGGCTGTGTGGGCCAATGGTTACTCAGGCGCATGAAGGCACTGATAACTCAACGGTACCTCTACGTGCCCGTGATGACCAAAGAGGCCAGGAGCGTGACCATCAGCCTAAAATCCTCCCCCTTCTGTCCAGAACAGCATCACGTCCTTCCTCCTGCCCGTTAGCTGGGACCCGCGTTGGGGGCCCGAGCCACACATGCTCTCAGCATGCACGTGCCAAGTGGCCACACACACCAGTGTTCCGAAGAGAACAACACAGTGTGGTCTGCCTTCAATAGCAGGTGCTCCTGACATAGTCTCTCCTCGGGACGGACACCGCCCCCCTCCATGGAGGGCTACTCCCTTAGCCGACTGCAACCCTCGACACTGTGCACTCAGGGGTCGTCACACACCCAAACGAGATCCCTGGCCCCAGCCAGGCCTCTCACACAGCTGTGCTGATCAGAAATTTGCACAGACTCCTTCGGAATTCCCTACGTCATTTCTCTCTCAAGGACGACACCGATCCTTACACAATGTACACTCCAAGAGTGAGAAGCGTGGGTCGGCCGGGAGACATTTTCGGCATGGTTTCAGAAGCAGAGGACGTGAGGGACACGTGGCAGAGCCACTTGGGTGAGAGCCCGCGGCACCGCGCTTCCTTGCACGTGCCATTCCACGGGGCGCACCCCTCCCCCCGAGAGCGTGGCTGCCATCTCCACAGCATGCAAGGGGAAGCCAGCCCGGGTCTCCAGCCGCCACGGAGATCACCAAGCACCGCGTGGCAATAGGCAGCATCCGGAGACAAGGCGATACCCACCGTCGCAGGAACTGGGCCGCGTCGGCCGTCAGCCTCTGCATGAGGTTGTCGTAGGACAAGGGCTGCTGGGTGATCTCGTGGTTCCTCATCAGGAAGCAGTTCAGGGGTCGGAAGTAATGCAGGAAGCACACCAGAAGGCCGAGGATCATGGCGGCGAGGCACAGAAGGCAGACAAAGACCCCGACGGGCACGTGCACCAGCCCCAGGAACCTGAGCACTGCCAGGGTGAGGAGTGTGACGGCGATAATCTGCAAGGGGATGAAGACCACCACCCGGACGCCCCCGGTGAAGACGCTGCCTTCCCCCGGCTTGCAGTCTCGCAGGTTGGTCACGGGGATGCCGTGGAAATAGTCAAAGCCGTGGCTCAAGGGATGGTGACAAAAATCTGTCTTGTTGTGACAGTTTGTCCCAAGATGCCACTTGCCTGAGAAGACAAATGGATGATACGTTCAGACCCGGCAAACACCCCCACGTGAGTATCAGCTTCGGCTTCCCACACGAGGGAACGCGGGGTCGCTCTGTACACGGACTAGCCCAACTCCTCTTCTGTAGAACCCCACAGTGCTTCCGTTCCTTCTCCACACACAACAGGGGATTGACTCACTCAGCCAGAAAACAACAACCAATTCTGTGCTGAAGATAACAAAATAAAACAAAAGACCAACACCTGACATATTGAATAGGCAGGTGACAAAAATACATAGAAAAACACAAGTGTTTTTTAAAGACATTTCCTTAAAATTAAAGTTGTAGAACCAACTTGGATTTGTCCCTTGAATATTAAAATGGGAAATGAATACTTTCCCAAAACACTACCCCTGAAGCATAACGGAGTCACACCCGTAACTCAGCAATTATTTTAAACATCTATGTACAATTCTTATAAAATGTTGATTCTAGCACTAGATTAGTGAGTGCCTCACAAAAGAAAAACACAATGGTTTTATGACAAAAGGAGAGGAAAGAGCACGGTCATGTTGCTTCTTTGAGAGATTTTAGGATTCGTCTGATGTCCCATGTGGACCTATGTTTATCAAGTAAAAACAGAGAACGGATCATTCGTATCCATTGAATAAAGCCAATGAGAATGTCAACTGAAACAAAGTCTGGTACAGTTTTAGTATTAATATATAAAATAAAATGTTCAATAGCATTGTGTGTGTATGTAGTTTTGTATGATATGTGAGGTATGGCATGCATAATTATCTATTAATCAATCTATTAGCTATCATCTGTCTCATCTCTGTGTCTCATCTATCCATCCAACCATTTATCCAACTACCCATCACCCATCCATCCATCTACCATCCAACCATCCACCCATCACCTCTCCAGGTATCCATCACCCATCCATCTACTCATTATTCATCCATTCATCTGTTCAATATCCATCCATCCATCCAACCATCCATCAACCATCATCCATCCAACCATCCATCATTCATCCATTCACCCAACATCCATCCAACCATTCATCAGGATCCATCATCCATTCATCATGTATCCATCCATCATCCATGCACCCATCCATGCGTTTAACCATCATCCATCCATCCATCATCCATCCATCCATTATCCATCCATTCAACCATCCATCATCCATCCAACCATCATCCTTCCAACCATTATCCATCCATCATCCATCATTCATCCATCCAATCATCATCCATCCATCGTCCATCCATCCATCCATCATCTATCCACCATCCATCCATCATCCATCCATCCATTATCCATCCATCCAACCATCCATCATCCATCATCCATCCAACCATCATCCATCCAACCATCCATCATCCATCCAACCATCATCGATCCATCCATCCATCATCCATCCATCCATCCATCCATTCACCATGTATCCATCCATCCATCCATCCACCCATCATCCATTCATCCATCCATCATCCATGCACCCATTCATCCGTTTAACCATCATCCATCCATCCATCCCTCCATCCATTTATTATCCAACCACCCATCATCCATCTATCCATCCATCCATCCACCCATCCACCCATGATCCATCCATCATCTATTTCATCTACTGATCTATCCATTCCTCCCTTTATCACCGATGTTGTCTATTTATCCATACATCCACCAGTCCACCCATCTACCCATTTATCATTATCTATCATCTATGTAACCATCCATACACACACACACACACACACACACACATCTTTACTTTCAAATAGCCTGGATAGGTGTGCTGTATTTTGATTTAGAATTGAAATCATTTCTTTGCTATGTGAAGTTGTGCAAACCGTTATCAGTGGTGTCATCCTTCTGAAGGCAGTTATCATGCCCTCTCCCACTCACCCTGCCCAGGCCCTCAACTCCCCCTCCTCAGCTGCCCATACCTATCAGAGCTGTTGAATAGCCTTGATTCTTGAGAAGCTTGGCAAAGGTAATCTCACTGGTGGGAAGTCCTCCAGAAGAGGCGGAGAAGATAAACACCCCCATGAGGGACTCAGACGCCATTCCTGAAGCAGGAGAAATGATCCATTGAAGGAGGAGGTCAGGGATGCCCCCAGGAGGACCACAGCCATGGCTATAGAGCCTGGGGGTTACCTGATCGGATGGGGTACCGGCCTGTCATGAAGGCTGCCCTGCTCGGTGTGCACAGGGGTGAAGCTGCCAGGTGGTGAGTGAGCTTCACCCCTTCTTCAGCCAACCGATCGATATTGGGCGTCCTAAAACAGAAGACTCACGTCATTCATGACGACCTTGAAACATGCGGTTTGCACTGTGCTTTTTATCATGGGTCACCTCCCAGTCATCCAGGGAAGCTCGCAGAAGGAAGGGTGACACAGCACAAGTCATCCCGGTGCCTCTGCTCTGGGAATGGATCGGCTGATCCTGTCAGGGTGTCATTCCACTCTTGCTAGGCATTCAGGAATGAACCTCTTTCCATTCTGGGGCTGTGCTGAGTTCTCAGCCCACATCCTCCACTGGGAACGTGGCCGCTGCCTCTCTGCCAATCTGGCTACCTTCCAACCTTTAGCTCCTGGCAGAGACGGGATTCTCGTGGGCCTCCTACAGCCAACCTTGTCCCATGAGGGGGCCCGGTCCATATGTAGGACACAGATCCTATCCCAGCAGCTCCTCATTATAAAGGGACAGCATGGCTAACCGCTCCCTTAGACACAGATGCACAGAGGCAGGAGTACACATCCTGTTCATCATGGCCCACAGTCTTCTGCTCCGGGGCCCATGCAGACTAGCCCTTGCTGATACACAGCTTGAAGGTGAAGGTCATCTCCCTGCATTGCTCATGTCCACCTGCTGTCCCATCCATGAATTTAGCATATGCATGTAATAGCCCACATCCCCCCTGTGCTCCTGCCTTCCGTCACAAGATTTAGAAGGCACAGAAGACCGAATCTGTGTATCTGACTTAACTTCTCATGCCTAGACTGGCCCACAGAAACATCTGAGTACTTTGGGGTCTGAGCTGATTACATATAAAACAAAAAATAAAATTCATAAGGAACTGGAATCTTTTATGGAACAAGACAGATGTGGGGTACACTGTGGCATAAGTTCTTCACTGTGATTGTATACGCTTTTTTTTTTTTTCTTTTCAGATCTGGTAGAAATGGAACATTAAAATTTGACTGTAATTTTTGGATTAGAACACCTGAGTCAGAAAGGTCCCGTATTATCTCGGTGATATTCGGGAATACATAGGATACTAAAAATCACACGATATTTATCTTTCTCTGACTGATTTCACTTAGCATAATCCTCTCTAGTTCCAGTGATGTCTTTGTAAATGGACAGATTTCATTCTTTTTGATGGCTGAGTAATATTCCAAGGTGGAATTTAAGAAACAAAACAGACGAGCAACCCGGGGAAGGGAAGGAAAAACAAAATAAATCAGAGAGGGGATAAACCATAAGAGACTCTTAACTCTAGGAAAAAGAAACTGCAGGTTGTTGGAGGGGAGGTCGGTGGGGGAATGGGGTAACTCGGTGATGGGCATTACGGAGTGTCCGTGATACAATGAGCCCTCGATTGTACGCAACTGATGCGTTGCTACACTCTACGCTCGAAACTATTAATATCCTCTATGCTCATTAACTTTAAATAATAATACAATAAAAAATAAAGTGGAAAAATCATAAACAAAATTTAAGAAATGATTATGACTCTGCTCAGAAAAAAACAAATTAGGAGCAACGGAGGCAGAAGAAGGCGTCCAAAAGTAAGACCTACACGTTTTACCACGTGAGGCCCCGAGTGGGGAGGAGAACGTAAGCAGTCCACTGGAATCTGTCCTCGTCCGTGTGTTTCAAGCTCTAACAAGTGCTGCAGGTGAGGGCACGTTTCAAACACGACAAGCAGCGTCTGAGGCAAAGCCTTAGCAGGGAACAGACCCACATCTGCATGCCGTGTCGTCCTCAAAGGGACAACTGATGCTCGCTTTCTGTTTCATCTGACATGATGCAATGCAACAGTCTTCCGAGCTGCCTCGCCGGGTTGAAAACAAGATGAGGCAGCGTGAGGCCCCCAGCGTCCGCGGCACTCTCCGGTGCATCCGTCCCCCAGCATCAGGCTATTATTACGATGATTCACAGATCTTACAAGAAAATTCTAGTAAAAGCTAATGGTCTCCTCTTCCCTGACCTCGTGTCACTAAGTTCGTACTGATTGTTGGTAACATGAGGCTCAGAAGCCGTTTAGGTCACCGTCTCCCCATCATTATAAAGAGAAAATGTGAACGTTGATGCCGCTATCCTATGAGACAAGGAGCGACTTTCCTTTTTAAATCAAGGCGCCCTTCCATGTTGTCTGACGTGAATGTGGGGTGACACAGGGGGCTGAGACACAGAAAGCCCCCTCTGTCTCTGAGTCTGCTTCCCGTCTGGTTCCCACAATGAACCCTGCTGCTTGAGAAGTTGTGCAGTCTTCCAACCTGGCGTGCGTCCCTGGGCCCCCTGTCCCAGGCCAGGGTAGCTGGTAATTGTAAAAACGAGACTTGGAGCTGGCGAGCAGGGACGGGGGCCATGGGAGGTGCCCACGGCAGTGAAGCGAGTACCCAACAGAGAGACTTACCCAAAACATCTAAAGCAACGGGAAGAACCAAAGGAGGACGGGCAAAAAGCTGCACAGCATGGCTGAGTAAGAAACAGTCCTTGTGAAGGTCTTTCTAGCTTTCTGGGCTTACCTTGTGCAAAGAGCTCGAGTCCCACCCGTCTTCCTAACGCCACTGTCGGTGCGTAGCTACGTCAAGTCACCCGCGAATGTCACCACCGATGTGTATCTACATGTGTGCCTTGAAGGGCTCTGACCCGTGCGGGGCTGTGTGCTCTGTGTGTCTGAGCTCACATCCCTGGTGCCCGCTGCCAGCAAGCATGGCCAGCTGTCCACGCAGCAACCCCGTCGGCCAGCGCACCTGAGCGTCTTGTTGCCATAGCAACCGGGATCTCCGATGCCAAGGTCGTCGGCCATCAGCAGGACGAAGTTGGGCCTTGAGGCCGCGTGGCTGGGGGCCTCCCACAGGAGCAGCAGCAGCAGCAGCAACACAGGGACCCTCATGTTTCTGCAAAGGGCAAGCAGACAGAGGGAAGTGAAGGATGCCCGCGTGTGGCCCACCATCTCCTTTCCTGGGACCTTCCTCCCACCCGTCCGCCCCAGATGGTATGTGCCCCAAAGACATGCTGACACGTCGCGGGGCAAAGAACTTCATCTCCTTGTTTCCAAAACAAGCCCTTCTTTCACCAAGGATAGCAATGACCTCTCATTTCTCCAAGGACAGGCAAGCAATGACCTCTCTCTTCTCCAAGGACAGGCAACCAATGACCTCTCATTTCTACCCAACGCCAAAGCATACGCTCTCTTTGGAAAAATGCAAACGCCATCACGGGTCATGTCTTCCCGGAAGGCCAGGGCCATGTTTAGCTAAAAGCTCTCTATTTGAGCTGTGGACCCACAGGTGTTCCAAAATCAGTTCCTTTTTAAAATGCGTCTTTTTTTTCTTTTTTTATGGAAACCGGGTTAAATAGTTGCAAACTCAAGGCGCACAAGTTGCAATGGCTGAGCAGCAGCTGCGGGAGCTGCTGGGTCATCAGGCAGAGCAAACGCCCCCAACGTAGGAAACCCACATGGTCATCACAACACACACTCGTGCCGGGTGACGCCCACACCCTAACCCCTGCAAACAGCAAGCACGTGACCTTCCCAGAGAAGGGGACTCTGCAGATGGCAGTCCCGATCTTGCAACAGGGAGGTGAGCTGGGACGGTCCATCTGGGCCCAACGCGCTCCTTAATGTCCCCACAGACGGGAGGCGGCGGGGTGCTCGGTGGCCACAGGAGCTAAGGGAGGGTCCACGATGAGCAAAGCGAGGGACAAGGTGGCAGGATGGGGAGCCAGGAGCCTAGGAGTGTGGGGGCTTCTAGAAGACGAGGAAGCTGATTCCCCTTGTCAGCGTCCAGAAGGACCCCGTGGATGCGCTCATTTCAACCCCATAAGCCTCCCTGCAGACTTCCTGCCTCCAGAACATTGGGATGTGTGAATCACTGGGGTTTAAGGCCTCCGGAGTGGTGGCCGTTGGTTACGGTATCGGGGGAAACCCGCTCCCCGAGAACAGACAGCCGGCGTACTGTGTGCTGCCTGTGCACTCGGTGCCCCGTCCTACAGCGCGGAGCCGTCCCCGCCCGGGGTAGACACCCTGCTCGGATCCCGGGCCTCCTGCGGGTCTAATCCCCCTGCGGGGCAGGACGCAGGAAGCACATCAAAGGCCCGCATGTGTGTGGGCAGGATGAACGGCCAGGACCCCGCAGCCTCCTGCCCTGGCCTGTGTCCCCGCGGAGCACCCGCATCTCCTGCTGGGGGGCGGGTGTCTCTGGCTGGCCGCACGCCGGGCCTGCAGTGAAGGGAGGAGCCGGCTGCCGTCCCTCCGCCACACGGACGTGGATGCTCCCCCCTCGTCCCGACCCCTCGTTTCCCTGGGCCCTAGCCACGTCTGGTGCCCAGAGCTCAGAGTCTCCGGAGGCACTTTCTCTGTGACCCTGGGGCCCTGCCAGCTCGGCAGCCTTCGGACAGAGGCCGAGAAATCCAGTCTCTTCCGCACACACGTGCAAACAGGCCTCTGATCTCCACTGTCGTTCCCGACGCCACCTTCAGAACAACCTGGAGCTTCTGTTCTCTGGGTTTTCAGATGCTAAGCTCGCTCTTCCTGCTGGCTTGTCGGTCCACGGGCGGGAAGGGCTCCCCTCCTGTCTTCTGCTGACCCGGTCCTGCTCTGCCATCTTCTTGGACAGTGGGTGGGGGTCAGGGTCCTTGTTCAACCTTCCAGCGGGACCCAGAAGCCTGCCCTGCTTGGAATCAGACTCTCTGCTCTGTGGGAGAACGTCGGCTTCCCATGTCATCCGCGGCCTCCCTGCGCACTCTGTCCCCAACCGTCCCAGTCGTTCTCAGCCCCAAGCCGGTGCCCCCATCCATTCCGAGCCAGAGATGAGAAAGCGGGTTGGTGGGGTTGCTGTTTACCCGGCTCCCTGGCTGGGGAGGAGCTCTGGGCCCTGCCCCGTGGGGACACAACACCACAGTCTCCAGTTGCACCCCACTGCTGTGTTGCCCGCACGCCCTCCTCTCAGAACATACCCTCAGATGCTAAGTGGTCTCGGCAACCGAGCAAATGTGCTCGGACCATCTCTGAGCAAATGTGCAAAAACCGCTGACCACTAGTGTATACAGAAGGCAGGAAAGATGCTCTGGTCCCTAACCATGCCGTGGGCCCCATGAGGGCAGCGGCTGGGGAAACAGGGACCCAGGGAAGCTGTGTGAGACAAAGTGTGGATGTTCTTTCTCTGCTGAACTAACATGCCTCACTCCAAATCCCCCAAACAAATTAACGAGGATGGAACAGTGCATTTCAGATGGCTGGAAGGCTGTACGGGTAAGAGAAGGATTCAAAGACAAGCATCCGTCTGTCACCATGAGAACCGCCACACAGGACAGCTTGAGGATGACAGAAGACACCCATTAGGGATGCCCACAGTATATGGACGGTGGGTACGGCCGGGGTCCCTGCGTGGACTGGACGCCTTGCAAATCCCTAACCGATACCGGAGGCACCTAAAGGACCAGGTCCCTAACATCCGGTCCCCGTAAGCACGCAACGGGGGAGTTCCCACCCCGAGAAGGCGACAGCCACAGCCCTGGGGTCACGGCTTCACCTCCGTCTTTTCACACGTCACTTCATACACAGAATAAAGAGATACAACTTCCAACTTGGACACCACAGCCTGGCGAGTGGGCGCAGGCCCTGTACGTACTTCGGCTAGTCCTGTACCGAGTGACCTACGCGGACAAGTCCTGGGAGCGGGTGCTCGTCCCCCGATCGATGTACCTGTACCGCATGACTACGACTGGTTTATCCTGTAAATCAATGAGGACCGGTTCTTAGCTGACCGCTGATACGCACACGTCTGGCGAGCTCTGCCGGCCGCACTCTCACCCACAACATCTCTGTGCCCTGCACCTGCCCCCCACCCCCTCTGCTCGCCCACACAAGCAGCCTGGTGTCTACAGGAGGATGTGGCAATGGCCACCAACCCAAGTCACCGTGAACTCCTCCTCTGCACCCACAGGCCTACCTTCAACTCTCACCAATGATGCCCGTCGGCCGGGACAGGCCCCCACCGCTCACAGCAATCCTGGGAAGGCCTTCAAAGAGAAGGTCGGGCCCTGCTGACCGTGCTTCCTTCCCAGGCTTCACCTGCCTCTTGTGGGTCTCTGCAGTGTGTGCAGGACACCAGCTTCCCTGCTCACCGGGGGAGACCCATCTCCCAACACTCATCTTCCAGCTGCCTCTAGGAACCCAAAAGACAGGGTCCTTGGCCCCCTGACACATTGGTGACCTGGAACAACAACTTCCTCTCTGTCCACACCTACTTCCACCCCCCACTCCGGCATCTCCCCCCACCCCTCAAGCATCCTCCCTTCTTGAAAAATCGAACTCTGCTCTCCAGCCCTCCCTTCCTCTAAAGACAAGCAAAGCCAGGACCCATGGCCCTGACTGAAGTCACAGGGTTATCCCTAACGCTGCCCTCCATTCTCTCTTTGGTGGCTTTTCCTCCCTGCTTGTCGGGAAGCAGAGTGTGGAGAATTACAAGTCAGGGGTCTTGTCCCACTCAGGCCACCAGCCACGAGGTCTTGGGCACAAAGCACAAGCTTCCTGTGCCTCGGGCTCACCCACCATCCCCTGCGATCCTGTCTCTGCCACAGGGAGTCAGCCCCCATGGTGGAAACAAAGGGTTTCCACACAACCACCATCTTGGAGACCCCTGCACTCCCGTGTTCTCTGCACTGTTCGCAGCGGCCAAGGCTCGGGAACGAGCCATGCATTGGCCAACAGATGCATGAAGAAGACATGGTCTCTGTACAAATGATGGTATATTATTCAGTCGTGAAAAGAATGAAAATGATGCCATTTGCGACAACAGTGATGAACCAGGAAGATACTATGCCAGACGCAGAGAGACAAACGCAGTATGAATGGAAATGGGCAATCTTGAAAAAGGAAAAGAACTCAATGGAACACTCGCTAGGGGCAGAGATACTGGGGAAGTTGGTCCAAGGGGACACGTGTTCTGTTATACGATGAGCATGTCCAGTGGACCCGGTGGACAGCACGGTGACTACAGGTAATGATTCCTGGCTCTACACTTGCTACGCCCATTGACAGTAGATTGTAAACATTCTCACCACACACCACAAAATGGTGACTAATACGTGAGTCGAGGATTACGTTAATTAACTGATTTGTGGTCATCATTTCACAATCTATATGGATATGAAATCATCATGTGTCCAATACAGATGTGCACAATTTAATTTGTCCCTCAGACTTCAATAACGCTGGGGGCTGGGGGAGGAAGGACATCCCCCCGCCTCCCTACAAGGAGAAGAAAAAGAAAGCGAAGAAAAAGTCTCCGAAATGATCCAGTGCGAGACAAACAGCCCCTGTATGGAGGACAAGAAAGTCACTGACGGTTCCACCAAATCCGTTCCAATTCAACCCACTTACGGGGCAAAAACTGGATAATGTATGTGACAGCCTCGGGATGGTTTCAGGGTTGCACGTGTCACAGAATGACCCCACATGCACCTGGCTGGCCAAAGGAGGGAATCCACAGGATCACAGCACCCACCCCAGTAAGCACTGGAGTGAGAAACGTGGTTTTGGCAGGTGATGTGACATTTCAGTCCTGGCCCCCTGCCCGGTGGTGGAGAAATCGGGGGCCGTGATTCAGCCTCTCTATTGGTACTTTCTTGTGTGGAATGCGGATAATCCTAACAACACCTTGTGCATATGATGGAGAAGATAAAAGTATAAACTTAGCACTATGAACGCGTAAGGGGCTCATCACTACGGGCCAGTGGCTGTCAGTGGTAGTCAACAGGGTGCTATTTTTATAACTCTGTGTAGACTATAATAAGAATAGCAATAGAGTTTCAAGCAAACTGTGGCAGCCGACTACCTGGCCCCGGTGACCGCCTTCCGGTATCCTCATCTGTATAATCCTGTCCCCTTGGATGTGGCAG